AATGAATGACTGCCCGACTGAGGCTTCATTCCACCCCGTCACCAGGAGGAGGAGCCCCGGCTTTAGGTAGCCTCCCCCCCCCCACCCCACACACAAAGCCTTCAAAGGGATTCAGGACCAGGAGACTCCACGACGCTCTTAAAGGAGATGCTTTCCTTCTCCCCGTGCGATTTTCATTTTAGTTGCATCAAATAAAACTGCCAGCAGATGCCCGAATGCATCCAGCTCTCCTTTATTTCAAGCTTGCTTGCCTGCCTGCCTCCCCACCCCGCTTTGGAACCAGGGACTTCTTTCGGAATTCCTTTGTTTGCAAAGTGGTACCCAGCTGAGGAAAATCAACACAGAGTATGCTAACCGATTTGGAAGCATTCACACAAAGTGAAGCGCAAGGGAAATCCCGGAAGAACCCCACGGCATCCTTACATATGACAGAATGTACGATCCACAAAAGTTTATGCCGTGAGAAGTCCCTTAAGCCTTTACGGTGCCATAAGATCCTTGTTTTCGCTGCAACCTACCGATGTGGCTACCCCGAAAACTGTTACAAGGAAAATCCAGATACACAAGAGACGCTTGTCCAAAGAAAGCTCTGCCTTAGAATGATGCCAAAGTGAAGGAGGGCTTGGTGGAACCCAAAAGGGCACTGCAGCGACAGAAGTGCCCCGGGCAAGCCATTTCTAATGCTGGAGTCAAGGAATTAGAACAGAACCAAAACTGGAAAAAAATATAGCCTAGTAAACACAGTGGCTCTGAAGTTATAAGCAGGGTATCGGGGCCTTAAAAAAAACTAAGTTATCTTTGCTCGGAACAGGCTGATGAAAAATGCTTTGACTTTTTGATTGTTGGTTGGTTTTCAGTGATGCAGAAAAGGGGATCTATCATCTGTACCCATTCTATGCTTTCTTCTTCTACCGTAAAAATTCTCACAGACATGTTCCTCAAACTATAGAAACAGGAGTATTATCCACGTTGACAATTATACTGGTTTTGAAAGGTTACCACTGAAGAACACAATTAAACCTAACTACCCTCACCAGATGGGAATACCTAGAGGATACACTAGGACCTACCTCTGCAACTCTCCAATGCAGTAGGAAACTTTACATGCCTCAGACCAAGGTTCAGTGCATCTGGCTTTCCTCCAAAAGGATTCCAGATTTCTTTAAAGAAATTGCTTGGTCAAATGGCATTCCTATAAAGACCCAGGTGCTTCCAGGAAGGTGTCACCCTTCCCCATTCTGGCACTCCCCAGATGTGCTGAACTACAAAACCTATTACCCCCAGCCAGCAAGCCTTTGAATATGTCAGCTGGGGGCGATGCAAGCTGGAGTCTCAGCTACCAGGCTGAGTGAGGCAGCTGTAAAGGTTTCTGGCCAAAATTTTGTTGAGACTACTCCAAAGGCCTTAAAAATGAAACTCTGCAGAAAGTGTCCGGGGATCTGGCCAGAGCTGTCAGGCTTGGAAGTGCCACAGACCGCTAGCCACGAAGCTGCGCCACTCACACAGGGATGGGCAGCTCAGCCCCGGCCAATGGGGGATGCGGTCCAACATATCCAGTGTTATAAAGGAACCACTTTGGAAAGGCAGTCTGGTCCACAGGCCGGCCACTGGTCCCCAGGAGAATGCCCAGTGAAGACAACCCGCAGTGCACCATGCCGCATTCCCAAGATCCTTGGGTTGCAGGATGCGAGCATCCCTTTGACAGCACCGGCAAGAGAAGCAGAAGCAGCCCTGTGCCCCTTCCACCACCCGGCCCGTGTCTGAAGCCAGGAGCAGTGGCTCAGGGGTGCAGCGCTGGACTGGGACTCTGGGCCCCCCAGTGGCAATCCCAAGAGACCCCCCACCACCAACAATGCTAGCAGACAGACACCCTGCAGAAGAGCTAACACATTCCTGTGATGCCACCAAGCAGATACATGCATAATCATTAACCACCACAGCAAAGTCCCTTCTCCCCCCCCTTACATCCATCTCAGCATGTCTGGGCCACACTGGGGTGAAATCCAGCAGGATTTCCCTGGCAGCATCATTTCACAAAACCCTTTATCAAGATTAAAAAAGAGCAATAAAGGAATGGAGAACAGGTCCAACTTCTCCTTCCTCTTCAATTTCATACATGATTGCTTTGAAGATGCAGAGTGTGTTTACAAGGGGATGCGCCGAACCAACTTGCAACCCCTATCATTCCCAGACAGCACTGTCTCTGCTGGCTGGGAATCATGGGGGCTGTAGTCCAGAATGGCTGGAGGGTGCTAGGCGTCCTCCCACCCATCCAAATCAGACACATGGGCCAGCCGGCAACACTGAAGAGCTGATCGCATGACACAGGGATGGAAAGTGACAGAGAGCATGAATGAAGTGGCGGAGGCGAATTCCCACACTTTAGTGTGGCGTTTCCATATTCCTTCTGGGGCAGCAGCATGAAGGGCATCCATGATTCCATGGTGGCTTTTAAAGCCACTGAAGTGGGAAGGATGGGATGCCTGGGACCTCTGTGTGAAGTCAACCTGTTTGGCCACTGTGACTAAAAAAAGAAAAGAAAAAAGAGGACGCTAGCAGGTCTAAAGGACCCCTCCCTCCCGAGGGAAGTGCTTTTATTGGATTAGAAGAAGCATGTTCTTGGGTAATATATTTGGAACGTCAAAACCAGGAAGCCGATGCCAGATATGGTCACATTCAGTCAAGGGAGTGACCCTGACAGTAGACAGGCCAGCGTTTGTTGTGCAACTGGCCGCCTTTCCAAGTGGCTGGTCTCACTTGCTCGAGTCATGCAGCAGGCATCTTCCTGCAAAGCACCCACACACAGCTTGCAGCAGGCCATACGGTCTTGCCTTGCAGAACCGGATCAAAGAAAGTGAGTGCACGTATACAGTGTGCATGTCTTCTTTATAAGAGGGGGGTCAGACTAGATGACCTCTTTGCACTTCCTAAAGGATTATTACAGAGTGAGCTAGTTGCCAGCATATGGGATGAGAGACAAGGAGCAGAATGCTGTTTAAAAAAGCACACCCGTTCCCTATTATGTGCACACTATTTTTCAGAAGGTACCACATTTCTGAAATACCTCTTTTGTTAAGAACTCTTCAAGGACAAGGAGAGAGCACTTAACTTTGAAAATGACAGACGCCACGGCATCCTAGCAACCACATCCCCTCACACCCAGCTGTTTGCAAGGGGAAGCTGACTCTGCACATGCTCCAACAGATCCCTGTCATTAGAGCTTGATCATGGTTTTGCACAAGACAGCCGCCTAACTGAGATTAGGGCCACACACTCCGGCCTTTTCGGCTTCACCTCTCAAAACCTCCTTCTTATCCTCCTGCGGCAGGGCAGCTGCCCGGGGCACCACCAGCCTTGCTTCCATGTTTTCCAGACCAGCCAGACACAAAGACATCGTGCTGCTTTCCTGCCGCACATCACTGTTTCAGTCCCACTGGAAGCACGGCATCCAGCTCATCCCGCTGGGCCAGGAATGCTCTTGCAGGCACAGGGGCCAATCCAGCCCAAAGGGAGCAACTCGGCTAATGCAGTGCTCCGAGATGCTGGTTAGCAGGATGGGCAAACAGCCCACCCAGTCGGGCCCTGTCTGGGAAAGAACCTCCTCAGGGTTTCCCCAAGGCCTTGACCAACCACAGGACCCGAGATCCCATCCGCTGTGGATGGGCCACCGGCAAGCAAGCATTTCCCCCACTCCTGAGCTATGGCTAACTGAGAAAACAGGGCAGGAGATGTATCTGCTGTACACATCACATTTCCATGTTCTCCAACTGGGTGTGCATGGCAGGAAAGGGGTACGGGAAAGGGAGCGGGGCAGCCTCAGGCCTCCACTCCCCCACCACACAGCCCAGTCGGTTCTTCCCCCTTATATAACTGGGGACCAGTTGCCTAGAATGGCTCTTCTTTAGGGCGCCGGCGGGAGAGGGGCAAAAAAGTGGCCGCAGAACCCCCAAGGTGATCCCCCAAGCGGGATCCGAGATTCTGGGCTCGATCCTGAGCGCAGAACCTGGGCTAAAGGAGCCGGTGGAAGAACCCCCCCACCCCGGAAAATCTCTGCAGCACCCTCTTTATCTGTGCGCCTGCAGCTCTGAAGAAGCAACGCCGTGCTGCGCCAGACAAAAAGCAGGCGGACTGCTGGCCGCATCCGAGGGGGCAGGCGGTGGGACGGGAAGGGCGCCCCCCCACACGCACACCGCTAACGGCACGGGGGGGCAGCGCAGCTTCTCTCCGGCGGGCGGCGGCTCTTCGCACGGGTGGGCTCTGCCCCTCCGCCGCCGGGAGCGTGCCTCGCCGCACAGCCGCAGCCCCAGACGGGGCGGGAGAAGGCCGAGCGGCGGCGGCGGAGGCGTGGCGCGCGGCCGGGCGAGCGAGCGAGCGCGGCGGGAGCATCTCAGGTCACCCACATGGCGGGCCGGCTCTTCTGCCGCCGCCGCAGCAACGGCGCAGCGCGACGGCGGGGACGCTCGCCGGCCCGGAGGCGGACGACGCGCCGGGGAGCCCCGCGCGACGCGGGCGCCGTCGCCGCGCGGGGCCTTTCCGCTCCCGCGGCGGCGGCGCGGCCGAGCACGTGCGGGG